ACTACCCCAACAGGGAAATGAACTTAAGATTTCCTTTCTCTGACTTCCAGAAAAAGCTTAATTACAACTTTACATGCTAAGTTTTCCTTGGATTGCTCTGAGCTTTCAAACTACAGAACCTCCTCTCTTGTCTCACCTAAAAATGTCCACATGTCTACATGTTTGCATGTCCATATGTGTCATGTGCATGTAATGTTTCACTACCAAAATATGTAAAAGAGCTCTAATTAATTGGCTTAAAGAAAATGTAAGCTTACCTCAAATATTAAGAACAGAAGAAAAGAAATCAATGCCTTTTAGTTCATGTGACCCTGATAACCTTGGATACATGAAACTAGTTTTAAAATTGTTATGAAAGTTTAAATGTTTTAAGATCATAATTAATACACCAAGGAAAGTAACTACATCTGAGATGGCCACAGATAACAGTCATGCTATAGAAAAGTTTATCTTGGCCTCTTTGGTGGGTGGACTGTAAGAGACAAGGATTTTGTGCTTTGTCAAAATAACCTCTGTTGGGTTTTGACTAACTAGAAAAACTAAACTTGGAGGGTTGAGTTTGACACCCATACAACTTCCTACATTTCCTTTCAAGTCTTCTAAGGACGATCACTCTTGGATAAATGAAAGGCATTGTTTTATAGTAAACTGTGATTCTGTTTAAACAAATGTTTTAGACCTATAATGTTTACCAGGCATTCCAAGAACAAAATTCTAGATTCATCTTTTGACCTCAAGCTAGCTTTTAATACTGGAGACACTAGAAGTCCAAGAAAAATGTACTAGGCTCACCGGTGGATTAAACCATACAAAAAAGCATTGTCAAATGTGAAAGAATGTTTAACTTTCTTTGGGTTACATTTCTATAAATATATTATAAATATCTGCCCCAAGGCTGCGTGAGATTCCTAAAGTTCTAGTAGGCCTTGATATATATTATCAATAATCATCATATATACTAAAATTATGTGCCACAAAAACAACCAAATCCTGTGAATATAAATCTCATAAACTAACATATATCTGTAATCATGACTGTTGTGAAATCTTTACCATCCACAGACAGTTGTTTTAATTTTGATTCCGGTTAAACACCAGTTTATAATCAGCTGGGGTCCAAGATTTGCTTCTTTAGAAAAATGTCATCAGGGCCAGGTGGCACAGCCCAGCCCTGCCCTGTCAATGTGAAAATAAAAAATAAAGAAAATAGAAAAATGTCATGGAAACAACTAAAATATTTTTATGACGTTTTATTTAAAACATTACCAATGTCCTTGCTTTGTTTTCCAAAGCCATTAAAATATTAAGTAAACAACAAAGTTATCTTCAGAATTTAAACTATTAAATTCTGCCTGGCTCACCCTTGCCACCCTCTCTAGGCTTAAGGATTATCACAAAAGGGACAGGTGTATGAATTTGTAAGAGCCAATTTCAAGAAATGGAATTAATAAATGTGGATGGGTTCCCTTGTGGCCTTTTTCTCTGCCCCCACCTGGTGCCTATCTGCCAACAATACAAACTCCCTGGATGACTTCTTAAAGGGACCACAGCATGTACAGCCTAGAGAATAGATTCTACTCAAGGGTTTCCCAGGACAAACTGGGTCCCCTCCAAGCTTTTAAATATGGCATCCGCCTCTACAGATGAGCTTCTGGAATCCCATCCTAGAGTCATCTCTCTGGTCTCAAACCTACAGACCCTCCAGAACCTGCTTCCACCAATGGCTAACTCCCTGAAAAGTCCAGCCCATCACGATGCGAGGCTCCGATGATATCCTGTGGTATATATGGCTCCTGTCACGCTTTGCCTCTTCTTTATACTTCTTGTGTCACTCTATGAATGCCACCATGGCCCAGCCTACCTGCCAGGCTGGTCAGTCCTTTGCCCATACTGGGAACCCTAATAACAATAACCTCACTTTCCATCCCACTATGGGCGCTCTATGGCATCTCTCTCTGCCTACTGTCCAAGAGAACCTCCACCTTCTCAAAACTGTGAACTCTTTTCCCCATGTGTGATCTTAGGTTTCTTAGCTAACACTCTCACTTTCAGACCCCGCATTCTCTGCTGTCCAGTGACATTCATATGGAACCAAATTCAGGCCCTAACTCTTCCTCTCAGGTAAGACCCTCATCCTGCCTCTAATCAGCTTTCACCACCATTCATTTTCAACACGTTCTCTTTTTATGATTCAAATAACTGTGTAAGCATAGCTCGGCCCCCCTTCTCAGCTGGAAGTAGCTACAGAAGAAGGACCTCCACCCATTTTCCCTACTTCTGAGGTCATTTTACATAGAAATTTTAATTTCAACAACAAAAAGGGGAAATGTTAGAGTGGCCTTGCTGAAATAATAGGAAAATATCCAATTTTCTAATGCAAGCCAAACATCAATCCTATGAGCTCTCTCTCTGCACTCTCTGCTGGCAGGCAACCTGCAGGGATTCCGTTTTCACTAAGATCTGAAACAGCCAAAGGAAATGTAAACCTTTCTCTTTATTGTTTTTTCCATGAGTATGAGTGCATCAGGGTAAATCTTTCTCTTTTCATTCCCCAGCTCACAGCCTTTAGAATCTGTTTCTACAGCCTCAAGGTGTTCCTGACAAGCTCCTGGGCACACAGCAGGGGGTAAATTCTAGGCCTTCGTTTGCTGCCCAAAACCATATCTGGGGGCAAAACCATAGCCCCTGTCATAGGCCTGACTCCATTTCAGAGATAACCAAGTCTCCAGGAACTGAAGAAAGACTGACAACCTGTCATCCCACAGCTACCTGCTAATTATTCTATAATTACTGGTTTTTCTTTGTCCCCATAAAAGCAGCAAGCCACTTTGGCCTCCCTGCTGGCATCTCCCTTCTCTTTTTGGGGGATGCCACGCCCTCTCCCTGCTCTCTTCCCCATCTCCTTCTCTCTGTCCTTCTAAAGGGTAACATAAACTTTCAACTTTGATATATCTTCATCTCTGCGTGGGAAATTTTTCTCCACCCTCCCTGTGAGCACCTACCAACCTTTCCACCCTACACCCACACCCATGGGTCCCTCCCACCCTCTGATAACTCTCCACCCACTCTCTACCTCTAAGAGATCAACTTCTTTAGTTCCCACATATGAATGAGGACTGGATTTTTTTTCAACTCCATTAAAATTTCAAAACCTAGTTTACTAAAACACCAAGAAAGATGAAGACAACCCACATGGCAGAATTTATTTATTACATAAACAAGAAACAAAGGTTATATATCCAAACTATATAAAGAACTTGTATAAAACAATGAGAAAAAGATAAACTAGCCAACAAGCAAATGTGCAGAATATATGAACAGGAAAAATTTAACAAAGGGCAGTTGCTTCTGGGTTGAATGCTGCCTGAGCACAGAGGAGAAAGGGTCATGTTTTACACCACACTCATTTCTTTTTTTTTTCTAATTTCAGTATATTTTGGGGGTGCAAATGTTAAGGTTAAGTATATTGCCCATGCCCCCCTCCCCCCTCAAGTCAGAGCTTCAAGCATGGCCATCCCCCAAACGTTGCCTATCTCACTCATTATGTTTATATAGACCCATCCTACTCATCCCCTCCTCCCCCCTCCCACCTACCCGACACCCTATAAATGTTATTCCTATATGTCCACTTAGGTGTTGATCTGTTAATACCAATTTGCTGGTGAGTATTTGTATACCACACCCATTTCACTGAGTTTGGCACCATGTGTATGCATTACCTTTTCAGAAACAAATATAAAAAGTGTTACTGAAAATAAAAATAAAAGAAAAAAAGGTATGTTTTATATTGAGTCATATGTATTAAAGACACCTACATTTCCTATAAGATCACATAATTCATGAACCAGGCAGAGACAATGTAGAATTGACTTTTTCATTTCCTTCCATACTATCCTAACATATAGAACAGGACATTGCTTTCAAATATATTTGTATGTTTAACAAACAAAGCCTAGCAGGTGTATGGAGGCAAGTACCATTTCTGATACTGTTTCTCACAGCCTTCCATACCCAGGTGCTAGGTGAGAGCCGGTGCTCAATAGGTACTGGATGGGCTGGGCACGGTGGCTCATGCCTGTAATCCTAGCACTCTGGAAGTTTGGGGCGGGAGGATCACTAGAGCTCAGGAGTTGGAGAACAGCCTGAGCAAGAGCAAAACTCTGCCTCTACTAAAAATAAAAAGAAATTAGCCAGACAACTAAAAAATAGAACAAATTAGCTGGGCAAGGGGCACATGCCTGTAAGTCACACCTACTCAGGAAGCTGAGGCAGGAGGATTGCTTGCACCCAGGGGTTTGAGGTTGCTGTGAGCTAAGCTGATGCCACTGCACTCTAGCCCCAGCAACAGAGCAATATTCTGTTTCAAAAAAAAAAAAAAAAGGCCGGGCACGGTGGCTCAAGCCTGTAATCCTAGCACTCTGGGAGGCCGAGGCGGGCAGATTGCTCGAGGTCAGGAGTTCGAAACCAGCCTGAGCAAGAGTACTAAAAATAAAAAGAAATTAGCCAGACAACTAAAAAATAGAACAAATTAGCTGGGCAAGGGGCACATGCCTGTAAGTCACACCTACTCAGGAAGCTGAGGCAGGAGGATTGCTTGCACCCAGGGGTTTGAGGTTGCTGTGAGCTAAGCTGATGCCACTGCACTCTAGCCCCAGCAACAGAGCAATATTCTGTTTCAAAAAAAAAAAAAAAAGGCCGGGCACGGTGGCTCAAGCCTGTAATCCTAGCACTCTGGGAGGCCGAGGCGGGCAGATTGCTCGAGGTCAGGAGTTCGAAACCAGCCTGAGCAAGAGCAAGACCCCGTCTCTACTATAAATAGAAAGAAATTAATTGGCCAACTGATATATATATAAAAAATTAGCCGGAGATTGAGGTTGCTGTGAGCTAGGCTGACGCCACGGCACTCACTCTAGCCTGGACAACAAAGCGAGACTCTGTCTCAAAAAAAAAAAAAAAAAAAAAGTACTTGATAAATTTAATTAAACACATCTACTTTATCCTTTTTTCATTCCTATCTGGTAATGTTTTTAGATTTTACATACTCCTTTTGCTTCTTATTGCTTCACTAATCTCTTTCCTAGAAAACTGATTAGAGTTCATTACAACAAACTGAGAACTGAATAATGATTTACATTCATTTTAGTCAACCATTGCTATAACAAATCTCAAACATTCCAATTATTAATTATTCTTGACCCTTTTTAAAAATATAATCTCAAAAGTCACGAAAAATTGGAAACCCATTGTTTCTTTCATACTCAATTTGCTTTGACAGAAATTCCTTACTTGTTTTGTCAATTTGGTCAGGAGAGAATAGATTGAATGCAGGAACAAAATAATGCCGCAGTTGTTCTGTCCTGAGGCACTCAAGGAAGTACGTCACGAAGTCATCAAAGCGGACTTCCAGGTATTGGGGGCGCCACTGACTGTCCGCGTAGTACTGGGTACAAACGTGGAAGAAGGCGGTTTTCACATGGTAGGAACAGAATTTATTCAGTTCTTTTCTGTTCTCAAACTTTTTTTTCAGCTGTTCTAAAAGGTATTTCATTAGTTTTAGGCAACCTTTCCTGCAGCATTTCGGTTCCCCTTCCTCACAGCAACCTTTTCCATGATCTTTCAAAATCTGCTTTTCAATGTGAGAGAAGGATAGGCGCCACGTTTCTTCTTGAAAACCATTTGCTTCCTTGGCATGCTTTGGCACGAGGTAAAACGGCTGTCGTCTTAGTTCGTCCCTAATTTTTGGTCCGAGCCATTTACTGATGGGCATGCCTTCCTGGGTGCTGGGAGGCCAGCTACTCGTCGATTCCAAAGCCAGGATTATGTCCACAGATATTTTTTCACGTTCTCCAATAAGAAGCGTTACAGCAGGGCTCCCTCCTCTCTTCTTCTCCACAATGACATCTGTACCTTCTATATCTTTAATTTCTTCCTTAATGATGTCCCTAAACTTCCACAGCACCTTAGAAGCTGATAAAAACGGACTCAGAGGATTTCCTATCGGATTTATTCTGAACTTCACAAAGTAATACACACCACTGTTGGCATACTCTTCCAGCTCAATTCTGGGGACTTCCAGTTTAAACATGACGTCGAATTCATTGGGTACAGAAATCTTCACTCGCTCATAGTAGCTCCCGGTGCGCAGCGGCACCTTGCTGATGCCTTTGAACTCGGACTCGCGGCTCTGCAGTCTCTCCAGGAGGTGGTCCACGACCCGGTTCACCACCTGGGCATTGTCCGAGACCTCCTGGCGGCTCAACTTCAACTTCTCCAGCACCGCCCGGAGCTTCCAGCCCCCAGGCGCCGCCTCCCCGCGGCCGAGACTTGCAGCTGGAACCCGCGGGCCGAGGCGGGGCACCTTCGCGGGCCTGGGCGCGAGCGTCTGCTCCCAGGGACAGCGCGCGCCGCCCGCGGGGTGGAACCCAGCCCAGGGAAGGGGCGGCCCTGGGAACACCAGGGGCTCCAGTCCCTCCGCCCAAGCCCACTGCTCCTGCGCCCTATGCAACTGCTGGGATCCCGACCCCCAGGCGCAGCCGCCGCTCCCCGCGTGGGCCTGGGCGGCCCTGGGGGCGGCTGGAGACTCACGGGGTTCCGTCCGGGCGCCCCACCAACTCCGCGCCAAAACCATGGGGACCGCGGCTCCCGCGTTCCAAGCTGCCGGCGTCGCCTTTCCGCGCTGAGGGTCCATGGCTGGCGCTCTCTGCTCCCCGAAAGAAGAATGCGCCTTAGGGGAAAGCCGCGGGACGAAGAACTAGCAGTGGCCTTGGGAAACGAAACTTAAATATCTGGGCGGAAATTAGCGTCTGCGCCCCGGGGAGGAGGCACCTAACGGGAAGCCACTGGGAGCCACGCCCTGCCGGGAAGAGGGTGGCAGGGGCCTGAGAACTTGTGATAGTTGTCTAATGTGCCTGACTTATTTCACTTAATGTGACCACCTCCAGTTCCATTAACGTTGCTACAAATGATGTGATTTCATTCTTTTTCCCTGGCTGAATAATATTCGTGTGTGTGTGTGTGTGTGTGTGTGTATCACATTTTCTTTATCCATTCATCTGTTGATGAACATTTAGGTTGATTGCATATCTTTGCAGCAGTAAACATGAGAGTGCATGTATCCCTTTGATATATTGATTTCTTTTCCTTTAGATTATTGATACTCACTAGTGAAATTGCTGGATGGTATGGTAGTAATATTTTTAGTTTTTGAGAAACCTCCATACTGTAGGTTATTGAACACTGCCTTTGAAACATACTATTTTTTTTTTTTTGAGACAGAGTCTCCCTTTGTTGCCCAGGCTAGAGTGAGTGCGGTGGCATCAGCCTAGCTCACAGCAACCTCAAACTCCTGGGCTCAAGCAATCCTGCTGCCTCAGCCTCCCGAGTAGCTGGGACTACAGGCATGTGCCACCATGCCCGGCTAATTTTTTATATATATATATCAGTTGGCCAATTAATTTCTTTCTATTTATAGTAGAAACGGGTCTCGCTCTTGCTCAAGGTGGTTTTGAACTCCTGATCTTGAGCAATACACCGGCCTCGGTCTCCCAGAGTGCTGGGATTACAGGCGTGAGCCACCATGCCCGGCCCAGCGATAAAATCTTTGCCTAGAACAATGTCCTGAAGAATTTTCCCTATATTTTCTTCTAGTAGTTCTATAGTTTCAAGTCTTACATGTAAGTCTTTAATCTATCTGAAGTTGATTTTTGTATGTGGTAAGAAATTGGGTTCCAGAAACTGAGTTTATTCTTCCGTATTTGGTTGTCTAGTTTTCCCAGCACTGTTTTATTGAAACACAGTTTAAATTTGTGTTATCTCTGCCCCTTTTGTCATTTCAAAATTTGTTAGATTGGGCCTTTCTCTTTATTTTTTGTATTTTTAATGTTTTTTTACCTGGAGCCATGACCAGGAAGCCTTGAAAAAGTGCGCTCCCTTTCTCTTTTTTTTTTTTTTTTTTTTTTTTTTTACTTATTTTTTCTTTTTCTTTTTCTTCTTCCTTATTTTTTATTTTTTCTTATTTTTTTTACTTCTATTTCTTTCTTTCTTCTGCCTCTAAAGGGAGTTGATACAGTTGTGTCTCTTTTTTCTTGATAGTTTTGCCACATGTTCCTTTTGGTGGCTCTTTATTACTTGTTTGGTGGTTCATTCATTTCTGCTCCTATTTTGGCTATTTCCTGCCTTCTATTTTCTTGCATTCACTCTGTTTCTCTCTAAATTTCTGAGACTATTAAATCACTATTTCTTATTTTCAATATATCTGATTTTCAAATACCCACGATTATAGTTATACATTTTTTTTTGTTGTTTTGAGACAGAGTTTCGCTTTGTTGCCCAGGCTAGAATGAGAGCTGTGGTGTCAGCCTAGCTCACAGCAACCTCAAACTCCTGGGCTCAAGCAATCCTGCTGCCTCAGCCTCCCGAGTAGCTGGAACTACAGGCACGCACCACTATGCCTGGCTAATGTTTTCTATATATTTTTATTTGGCCAATTAATTTCTTTCTATTTATAGTATAGACAGGGTCTCACTCTTGCTCAGGCTGGTTTTGAACTCCTGACCTCAAGCAAACCGCCCGCCTCGGCCTCCCAGAGAGCTAGGATAACAAGCGTGAGCCACCATGCCCGGCCTATAGTTATATATTTTATTTATTTGTTTATTTATTTATTTAGAGACAGAAGTCTCACCTTGTTGCTCAGGCTAGAGTGAGTGCCGGGTGTCAGCCTAGCTCACAGCAACCTCAAACTCCTGGGCTCAAGCAATCTTCTGCCTCAGCCTCCCAAGTAGCTGGGACTACAGGCATGCGCCACCATGCCCGGCTAATTTTTTCTATATACTTTTAGTTGTCCACCTAATTTCTTTCTATTTTTAGTAGAGATGGAGTGTTGCCCTTGCTCAGGCTGGTCTTGAACTCCAGACCTTGAGCGATCCATGTGCCTTGGCCTCCCAGAATGCTAGTATTGCAAGTGTGAGCCACTGTGCCCAGCCTCAAATCTGTTATTGAATCCCTCTAGTAAATCTTTCACTTTAGTCATTGTATTTTTCAGCTCCAAATTTTTTCTTTTTTTTCTTTTTTCTTTTTTTTTTTTTTAGAAATGGGATCTCACTATGTTGCCCATGCTGGTCTCAAACTCCTAGGCCTCAAGCAATTCTCCTGCCTCAGCCTCCCAAGTAGCTGGAACTGCAAGCGCACCTCGCCATGCCCAGCTCTTCAGAATTTCTACTTGGTTCTTTTTTTCTTTTTGAGACAGAGTCTTGCTTTGTTGCCTAGGCTACAGTGAGTGCCGTGGCGTCAGCCTCGCTCACAGCAACCTCAAACTCCTGGGCTCAAGCAATCCTTCTGCCTCAGCCTCCCAAGTAGCTGGGACTACAGGCATGCACCACCATGCCCAGCTAAATTTTCTATATATATTAGTTAGCCAATTAATTTCTTTCTAATTTTAGTAGAGATGGGGTCTTGCTCTTGCTCAGGTTGGTTTTGAACTCCTGACCTGGAGCAATCCGCCCGCCTCGGCCTCCCAGAGTGCTAGGATTACAGGCATGAGCCACCGTGCTCAGCCTACTTGGTTCTTTTTAATAGAGCAATTCCTACTGATATTCTCTATTTGATGAGTAATTGTCATACTTTCCCATAATTTTTTAAAATAGGCATTTCTTTAGTTCTTTGAACATATTTATAATAGCGATTTAAGTCTTTGTCTACCAAATCTCACATCTGGGACCCTTCAGATACAGTTTGTAGCTACTGTTTTATTTCCCTCCTCCTGGTGTTTGAACTATACTTTTCTGTTTCTTTGCATGCTGGGCAGCCCAGAGTTTGGGTGTCAGCTCAGCGGCATACTGGCTGTGTGACCCGGACCAAGCTACTTTATCTCTGAGCCTTATTTTCCCCAAATGAGAGCTAGAAACTCCTCTGTTGTCAGGATGAAATCAGATCTGTCTCATAACTTGTTTGTAGAAAACAGGACCTTTTATATCATATATTGTAATTCTGGCTTCTGATGTCCTTCGAGTTGTTTTTGTAGATGTTGCTATTGTTGTTTGCTGGTTGGTTGGTTTAGTGACTTGCCTAGACTAATTCTGTTGAGTTTGTCTTTCCTGCAATGTGCAGCCACCGAAGGATGTCTCTGGTTTTTTGAATTCTTGTTTTTATTTTCAAGCCTGGCTTCCTAGAGGGCACGCTTGGATCAGTATTGCTTAGTGAGTAGTCAATGGGCTGGAAGGTTTCCTTAAACACCTACACCCAGCAAGCATCCCACCCTTGGTCAGGGGGAGCTGTTGGTGGCAAGGATGGGGGGGGTTAGGGTCACACAGAGTTCAGACAGGTTACAGTCTATGTGGCTTTGACTCTCTGCTTGCACAGGGCCTTGTGGTCAGCCAGGGACCTGGGGTCCTCTCTGTCCTGCATGTGCACGCAGCCCCGAGTGTGTCTTCTAGGTGTGTCTTCTAGGTCCTCAGGAATATGTCAGAGCTTTTCAAAGGCTCCTGTGACTATCTTGTGCCACATGTCTTGTGAACGCCCTTTCAAAATCTTGGCTGGTCTCTTGTTTGCCCCAGAGGGAACTATAGCCTTAAGTTGCTGTGATGCTGGCCTTCCCCAATTGTTTGCCCCCAACTTTTAGTATTTTCGATGACTCCCCTCAGCGTGAGCTTTGTCTGCCGCACTTGAAATCAAGTCAGCCCCTCCAGCCTTCCTGAGGCTTCCAGTTTCCCTGGCTTCTGTGTCATGGAGCTTGGAATGGGGGGAGGAAAATGGGAATCAGCCTCCAGATGAAATGCCACACGCTCCACTGTTCTTACTGAGATTCAGTAGTTTTTCTTGAATAAATGCTTAATCTTTCGGCCAGGCAAGGTGGCTCATGCCTGTAATCCTAGCACTATGGGAGCCCGAGGCCAGAGGATCCCTGGAGGTCAGGGGTTCGAGACCAGCATAGGCAACACAGCTAGACCCTCATCTCTAAAAAATAAATAAATAAATGCTTAATCCTAGCACTTTGGGAAGCTAAGAGGATCACTAGAGGCCAGAAGTTCGAGACCAGCATGGGCAACACAGCTAGACCCTCATCTCTGAAAAATAAATAAATAAATAAATAAAATGCTTTTCAACCTATTGTATATCTTAACTTCCAGAGAACTGAAATGGTTGGTTTATGATAGTTTTATCTTTTTTTTTTTTTTTTTTTAAGAGCCCCCGTGTTTATTTTTTTTTTTTTTTTTTTAATGGATCTCACTAATGTTGTCCAGGCTGGACTAGAATCCCTGGGCTTAAGCCATCCTCCACCACCCTCAGTCTCCCAAGTAGCTGAGACTACAGCTGCATGCCACCATGCTCAGTTTAGACAATTTAAATTGAGCAGAGTTTATTTGAGCAAAAAACAATGTAGGAATTGGGCAGGTTCAGAGAGCTCCACCTGACAGCATCCGTGGTGAGCTTTTCTAGGCCCCACATAGAAGCAGAGCAGAGAAGTCACCTGAGTGACCACAGCTTGGCATTTCTTTGTCTCATTTGGGCATGGTCTGATCAGTTGGCTACCTGTGATGGCCGAAACACAGCTATAGTCTTAAAAAAGTAAACTCCTAAGTTATGTTTCAGTTTGTTTATGGTACTAAGTTAGGTTGTAGTAACTCAAAGCATGGAGACAACCTCGGGCTAACGGCCCCTGCTTGTTTAACTCGACACTTCTTCCCATGCTCTAAGTAGAACTTGCTTCTCCCTGAGGTACATACATGCATTAGCGATTATTTCAGAAGAAATCATCTGAGAAAATCTTTTTTTTTTCCTTTTGACCTTTTTCTGCATTTTACTATCATGGAAATCTGGCTCTTTTTATTTTTATTTTTTAATTTATTTAGAGACAGAGTCTCACTCTGTTGACTTGGAGTGAATTGGTGTGATCGCAGCTCACTGCAACCTTGAACTCCTGGGCTCAAGTGATCCTCTTGCCTCGGCCTCCCAAGTAGCTGGAACTATAGGCACACTTCACAATGCGGGGCTAATTTTTAAATTTTTTTGTAGACACA